CTTTTTGAGGAAACTCCAAACTGTCTTCCACAGTGGCTGCACCAGTCTGCATTCCCACCAGCAGTGCATGAGGGTTCCTTTTTCTCTGCATCCTCACCAGCACTTGTTTGTTGATTTGTTGATGATAGCCATTCTGACAGGTGTGAGATGGTATCTCATTGTTGTTTTGATATGCATCTCTCAGATGATTAGTGACTTTGAGCATGTTTTCATGTTTCTTGGCCTTCTGTATGTCCTCTTTCAAAAAGTGTCTATGTAGGTCCTTTGCCCATTTTTTGATTGGATCATTTAAAAATATTATTATTAATAAAATATATTTTATTACCATGTATGATGGCTGCTTGGCCAGAGTGGCTCTATTGGTTGAGCATTGTCCTGTGCACTGAAAGGTTGCTGGTTTGATTCCTGGTCAGGGCACATACCCAGGCTTCGGTTTGATTCCCAATCAACTGATAGATGTTTCTCTCTAAAGTCAATGTTTCTCTCTCTCTCCCCTTGCTCTTTCTTTGGTGAGGATTAAAAACAACAATAACAACAACAAAAAGAACCACATGCATGATGGCTAATTTTATGTGTCACCTTGGAGAGTGTTTTTGAATGAGGTTTACATTTAATTAATTAATTTTTAGTAAAGCAGATTGCCCTCCATAATGTGGAGGGCCTCATTCAATCAGTTGAAGGCTTAAATAGAAACAAAGCCAGCCTCCCCAGAACAAGATGGAGATCTGATGCAGACTGCCTTCCGATTTTATCTGTACTGTCAGCTCTTCTGGGCCTCTAACCTGCCAGCCAACACTGCAGATTTTGGACTTGCCATCCTTCCTATGTATGTGAACCAATTGCTCATGATAAATTTTTTTCCATCTATATACACATCCTATTGGTCTTGTTTTTCTGGAGAATGCTGACTAATCCAACATGTAATGGGTTTATTACGTTTATTTTTAAATGAATATTTTAAATACTTAGTTTTAATGTCTAACATAGTAAACATCTATACCATATAATCCATATATAAACAAGATCTTATTAGGGTTCTCAATAATTTTAAGAGTGTAAAGGGATCCTGAAACCAAAAAGTTTGAGAACCACTGGTAAATTATATTTAAAATACAATGGCCTTTCTTTAAAAAGTTAGTAATTTTGCCCTGACTGGTTTGGCTCCGTGGATATGGCGTCGGCCTGTGGACTGAAAGGTCCCAAGTTCAATTCCGGTCAAGGACATGCACCTTGGTTGCGGGCATATCCCCAGTGGGGGGTGTGCAGGAGGCAGCTAATCAATGTTTCTCTCTCATAGAAATTTCTAACTCTCTATCCCTCTCCATTCGTCTCTGTGAAAAATCAATAAAAAATATATATTTTTAAAAGTTAGTAATTTTGATTTTTTTGCTTTTTAAAACTAGTCCTCCCTCAATGAATCTAAATTTATGAAGTTTTATTGCATCTTTAAAAAAATCCAGAGACCACAGCCTAGGCAATGATGACCACAGTTTTCATTTTATTCTATTCTAGCACTAAGATAAATACATAATACTCCAATATTATTTATTTTCTCTGAAAGGTTCATTTTAAGAACTATTTAAATAATGAAAACACCTTTAAACTACAGCTATACTCAACTATTCTGCCCCAAACCCAAATACCTGACAGTCAATTTAACATCATGTGTGAAGAATGCCCTCAGAAGGGCTGATAAAACACAACTTTTGGATCTTTGCAATAGTAATTCAAGGGGGTGGGTATGAGGGTAAGGGTAGGATCTGAATCTGAGGCAGGAGCAACTGTAGAAGGTTTTTTCATCCCCAGCAGATATTTACTGCCCTTCTCTTACAGGCTCACTGCTAGTGTGACTGCTACAGATTTCTCAGGAGTATCAAGGCAAATAAAAATGAATGAGAATTGCCCTGGCTAGCGTGGATCAGTGGTTAGAGCATTGACCCAGGCACTGAAGGGTCCCGGGTTCAATTCCCGATCAAGGGCACACACCTGGATTGTGGGTTCGCGCTCTGATCCCTGTGTTTCTCTCCCTGCCCCACAATCCACTCTCTCTGAAAAGCAATGGAAAAAATATCTTCAGGTGAAGATTAAAAAAAAATACTGAGAATCGTTACTTTATAATTTTATATGCTACTAGGAGGATAGTTTAGATAATAAGTATAACTTTAAAGAATAGGAAACCAACAGGAACAATACAAACTTTTGAGAATTTGTGCTTGTACTGAGGGTCTATCAGGGCCTTGCTGCTCTAATAATGTTAAAGCAAAACCATTATATTTTAATTCAATGTTTAATGAAATGAATTATTTCACTGTTACTTGTTTTACTTAGAATTTCATTACTTTTTCCTTTTTGTGTGAATAACATGGTTGTCCAAATTTAATTAGTAAAAAAACCTCAAATTTTGTTGTAAATCATAATTGTACACAATGAATTACATCTTTCTTTCTCTATATCTCTTTGCAATGAAGTATTGTTGCTCTTCCTGTGAAGAAATGGAGTTAATTTACCACCCTCTTTCTTCACTAATAGAATGTCATGGAAGTGATTTTGTACATTTTGGAGGCTAGACTTTAGATCTAGGATTCCACTTTCATACTCTAGGAACACGAAGACCACCATGCCATAAAAAAAGCCCTATAACCCTACCAAGGATGAGAAGTCATGTGAACTGAAACCTCCCAGATAACCGTCAGCACCAACTGCCAGCCATGTGAATGAGATCATCTTGCATCCTCCAACTCCAGTCAAGCTGTTAGATGACTATAGCTTCATGAGTGATCTCAGATCAAGCCATGAGAACAGATTGCCAACTCACAGAATAGTAATAATAAAATTATCATTTTCAGCCACAAAGTTTTGAGGTGGTTTGTTACACAACAAAGTCTAACTGACGCAGAAATATCCCCTCAATGTATTTGTGTGTGAAAATTAGACTGGTGAGTATAAGTAACTGGGCATCAACTTTTGGATGCTATAATCAAATGGAGGGATATATCACATCCTAGTAGAGTCTCAAATACAATTTATTAAATGTAAATGTAAGAGAGGCAATGAAACACAAAGTGAATCTATTAATTCATTAATTCAACATATATTTATTGCACACATTCTAAACACCAAGTACTATTCTAGGTGATGGAACAGACACTGCCCTTGCCTTCGTATAGTTTATAGTCTGAGGAAGAAAGTAATTAAGTAATTTCAAAAAGTTTGATAAGAAAGCACAGGTTGCTGCTCACTAAACAAACTTAGAGCATTAGGGAAGGCTTTCCAGAGGAAGTGATATTTAAGCTGACAGGTGAAGGATGAGTAGAAATTTTGCCAGAAAGGGGTATAGGAAACTGGGGTCGGAAGACTACAAATATGCTCCAACAAAGGAAACATTACCTATGAAGGCTCAGAGGTGAGAGAAAGCATGGTGCATTCAAACCACCACAATAATTTCTGTGTAGTATGCATATGAAAAAGCACAAGAGAAGAAGCTTGGGAGTAGAGCAGCAACTAGTAAAAAGTTTGGAACTGTTGAGTTTGGAGATGAAAAATGACATGACTGCTTTTAGATGAAGCATTATGACAACTGAGTAGAGAGGGATTTGACAGGTGCAAAAACTGAGCTGTTATCAACAGTTCAGATGAGAAAAAATTTTAATTAGGAAAGTGATAAAAGGGATGGAGAGACATGGATGGATTTAGGATTTTTAGGCGATAAAATCTCCAAACTTGATACATCTATAATAAAAGCATAATATGCTAATTAGACTGGACAGCCAAAGGACCTTCTGGACGTCATTCCAGACATCCTTCCAGATGACCTTCTGGACGAAGCCCAGGTTGCAAGGGCTTCAGGCCTCTAGTAATTATATATGGATAGTAAAGAAGCAGGAGTGCCTGGCACGTGTAGCTCAGTGGTTGCCAGTCACCCTTGGATTCCCAGTCAGGGCACATCCAGGGCTTGTGGGCTCCACCCCCAGTAGGGCGTGTGCAGGAGGCAACCCATTAATAATTCTCTCTCACCATCGATATTTCTATCACTCCCTCCTCTCCCTTCCTCTCTGAAGTCAATAAAAAAAGTATATATTTTTAAAAAGAAGCAGGTGTTAAGGATTATTTTCCTATTTCTGGTTCAGGCAACTGAGTAAATGGTTGAAGTCATTTATGGAAACTGGAAACACTAAAAAAACATTGGAGAACTAACTATGAGTTTAAGGTACTTTAAGTTTACCACGTGGAGTTGTCCAGTAAGTAGGTAGATAAAACTCGGGAGAGAAGCTCAGGCTGGAAATACAGATTTGAGAGTCATCAGCCATAGTTGGCAATTTTGGTTCCGGGGGAAGCTCAGAGCCAACAGGGTGGAGAACAGCCCTGGGAAGCTAACTAAGTCTTCCTTCAACAAATGTTTGATTCTAAGAAATACACTCTCATGGTTTCCTTAGATATTGCCGCATTATTCTCCACAATTTGGAGGAAGTGGAGATGGATACAGGCAGAGAGATTTTTGACAAGCAGGGTCAGAACAGTTGTCATAGCTTTTGCAGCAAACTGAGAAAGGATTACGGAGCGTGTGGTGCTAGAGGAAAGTGGCCGCTGTTGAGATAGATGACTGGGGGCTGGCAACAGTTGGAAAAGCAAGGTCAAAGCGGTTGCTTCTACGTGAACAAAAAAGCAATTCTGCCAGCCGTTTGGATTTGGGGCAGGGGTTCCACCCAAACTTGTCACGGAAATGGGGCGATATAAAGTGGCCGAGATTATTATAAGAGACACTAAGAGCCAGAGGGCTAAAAACAAGAGAATCTGAAAAGATCAGTTACGTGGGAAAAGACAAGTGAATCAGCAGCGAGGCGGGGTGGTTGAGGTTGGGTCGGGCTGGTTTTCCCGTCCATTTATACACAAAGGGAAACTGCCTTACCGCCCCCTCCCACACACCGGAAGCAGAACCTTTGCACTCCGACGCATTACACATTCCTCCGCGCCGGAAGAGCTCGTCTCACCTCATTTCCGTGTGCTTCCCCCACCCCCCAGGAGAGATCATGGAACCTCCCAGGTGTGCCGGTTGAAGTCGTAGGACAGCGCGGAGCTTTCACGGACGAGGAGACCAGGAACAACACTGAACTGCCGGGAAAGGGAGGAAGAAGGAAGGTCGTAGGACGAGGCGTCGTGCTGCTGCGGAGGGATTCTGTTCTTGGCGTGGCGGAGGGATTTGACAGCACGTTCACTTCCGGAAAAGTCCCAGCTCTGTGAGGCGAAGCCCCGAAGGAAACAATAACAAACGAAGGAGGAAGCGATTCTGCGGTTCCTGTGTTGAGCCGTTCTGGTCCCAGAAGATGCGCTTCGGCCCCCGTCAGGGGACGTGAGAGAGTTCGGTGGGCTTCAGCCAGCCTTCGCCCACCTGCTGCCCCGCGGGGCCCCCTGGGCTTGGCCATGGCGGGCGCGGGGCCGGGGGGCTACGCGGCCGAGTTCGTGCCGCCGCCGGAGTGCCCGGTCTTTGAGCCGAGCTGGGAAGAGTTCACCGACCCGCTCAGCTTTATCGGCCGCATCCGGCCTCTGGCGGAGAAAACCGGCATCTGCAAAATTCGACCGCCCAAGGTACCTGCGTCTGAGGAGAGGGGTGAAGAGGAGAGTGGGGGAGTCGATGCATTTGGTTCAGATTTACTCTTCCGGTCCTTCTGTCTTTCCACATTCGCCCTCCTTTATTTCTCAACAACTAGAAGCTCAGTTTCTGGATGTTTTTTTTTGCCTTGGTTTCTTTTGCGGTCTGATGTACGCTTGTCTGAACACGGGAGTGGAGTCCCTGGGGCCTTTCCGCTTCGAACTTGGGAACTGATACGTTTCTTCCTGGATTGTGGGCAAGGGTAACAAAAGGCTTTAGGTTTTTTCGTTGGCCGATGAGGTGTTTGAAGTCTTAATGGCATGGTGTGTCCTACACTCCTGTACAGTCCTTACAGAACGAGAGTAAAAACTCCTCCGTCGGCTGTTTCTTTACCCAAGCCTTCTTAATGCTTAATTTATTAAATATTTGCAGGCCTTGTCTCACGGCTAAGGTTTCTTAAGCAGTAATCTGAGCTCTCGTTGTCCCCCTAGGACGGCATCACTAAACAAGAACCCCAGCCTAATTACTGCTGCAATGAAAAAGTCTCCCCCGGGGAACAGAATTTATTTTTTAAATATAGAGGTTTAGGAAGAGTTCTCAATGATAGACGTGGAAGAAAACGAAATCTTCTGATGCTGGGAACGGTGGATTAAAGATTTACGAATCGCAATTACTGCAAATAACCAGCTTTGCTGATAGGTTAATTACATCAATCTTTAAGGTAGAGAAAGCAGTTACTCCTACCCGTTTGAGGCAGTTAATGCCCCGAGACGCTGAGTGATTTGTTCAAGGTCAGTAGAGTCTTTACCCATTAGACCAGTGTTTTTCAAATGATGTTCCTGGTGCACCGGCACCAAGGTCAGCCTGATGCGTGTTAAAATGTAGGTCCCTCGGCCTCATTCCCAGGCCAGAATCAGTGTCTGTGTGTGGAAGACCTAATAGAATATGCTTTTCTAGCAAGTACTCGCAAATGATTCTTAATGCACATTAAAGTTTGGGAGCCACTGCCTTAGTGCTTCTTAAAGGAAAGCCTTGCTTTATGTTTTGACTAATAATAACTAAAATGTTAAGTACTGTTACCCGTGTTGCATTTTAAAAAGCATCTACTAGCACTACAGACTACCATGGTGATGTGCACCCCAGTGAATAAAAAGAGATAAGGTGGGAGGGAGGAGAGAGGAGCTAATACAGCACCTACAAACTATTTCATTTAATATTCTTCGAAGTTCTAGTCTAGGAGGTAACTAAAGTCTCATTTTACAGATGAGGCAGGTCTGGGTAAGTTAAACAACTTAGCAAATGTATGATTTTGGGCAAGTAGCAAAGTAGATTTTGAACATAGACCCATTTGTTTGCTTCTAATATCCAGACATGCTACTCCCATTGTGCTAAATGAATTTAAGATTATAGACTATCAATTGCAAGTAACGCATTAACAGATAGTTGCTATGGTGAGTGATGATATAGGCATTGCCATCCTCCAAAAGCTTCATTTAACATTTTTCTACCAAAATTACCTAATATTGACAAAACCTAAGGCACTGCAGTTTTTCCTAAACCATATTTTTTACTGTTGCCTTCATGAATTAGAAATTCTGTTCAAGGTTCCTTTTGGTAAAACAAAACACAAGTTTTTTTATTACTTAAAACAAGGTTGAAATAATAGACCTTCTCTTTGTATGTCACCTTAATGAAAATTTAATTTCGATTAACTTAATTTCAATACTGGTGGATTTCTTTAGTTTCCAAGGTAAGGTAAATGTTTTTGATTACTCAGGTTTTCAGATAGATTTACTAATATTTAGGCCAAATCAGAGTATATTTTCTAGAACCCTACTTGCATTGTGCTATCTCATTTAGTTATACTGCATCTCCAGTCTGGAAATTGTCCTTGTTCTATGGGTTTGCTTACTTTTAAAAAAATTATTTGAATGCCCATTTATATAACATAGACTGTAAAGTGCTGTGTCACATTATACATTAATGAAAAGCATATCCAGCCCCAACGGGTTTGGCTCAGTGGATAGAGTTACGGCCTGTGGACTGAAGGGTCCCAGGTTCGATTCCGGTCAAGGGCATATCCCCAGTAGGGGGTGTGCAGGAGGCAGCTGATCGATGTTTCTCTCTCATAGACGTTTCTAACTCTCTATTCTCTCTCCCCTCCTCTCTGTAAAAAATCAATAAAGATATTTAAAAAGACATCCAATTATATAAGTACTTAAAAATTATTTTTAAATCTTTAATTGTACTCTTTGTTTCTTTCAAATTCTGCTTTCTTTTTTATTTGTAAACTTGAATGTTTATTAGACATGTATTGAGATACATGAGCTTACTGCATTGTACTTGACTAATTGGGGAAAGCATAATTGTGGGATGTAGATAGTGGTACTTGTGAGATATGAGGATTTATAGATAAAATTTTAATACTAAGAATATTAGAGATAAGTAATTGGAAATAAGTAATATTTTATTTCACCTGACTGTTGGGGCCCAGTGGTTGAGCATTAACCTGTGAACCAGGATGTCCTGGGTGGATCTTGGTCTGGGCACATGCCTAGGTTTGCGGGCTCAGTCCCCAGTGTGGGGTGTGGAGGAGGCAGCTGATCAATGATTCTCTCTCATTATTGATGTTTCTATCTCTTTCTCCCTCTCCCTTCCTCTCTGAAATCAATAAAAATATTTAAAAATATGACTCTTTCTGTCTGTATAATAAAGAAGACTTATTAGTTGTTTGTTCTCTTGTCATGATTTGTGATAACTCAGCCCTTAAATTAAGGGGAGGAATAATGCATTCCTTGCTTATATACCAATATATTTTAAAATAAAAATCTTTCTATTTAGGATTGGCAACCTCCATTTGCATGTGAAGTAAAAAGCTTTCGTTTCACACCCAGAGTCCAGCGCCTGAATGAACTTGAAGTGAGTATTATATAGCCATTGCTGCCTCCTGATTCATTTTTTTATGTTAGGGCTCTTGGTGGAGAACTTTGAGAAGTTCATGTACCAGTGCTCAGAGTTAATGTTAATTGGGATTGAATGGAAGGATGTTTCTGATTAAAAAAAAAAAAATGTTTCAGGTAGTTAATAACTGTTTTTCCACTTAACTGGGATTATGGGAAATTATCTCTAGCCATATTTTTTGTACTTGAAATATCCAGTTTAGTTAATTTCAGAAACCTGGAATTCTTAAGTTGTACTTTCTTCAGCACTTGTTTTAATAAAAATTTTTCTTGCTGTTAGAAGATCGGAAAATAGTTTTATAAATTCTATCAAAAAACGTAGTTTTTAGAAGTTCCACCCCCTTCCTTTGGCTAACAGTACTTTTCCAGGGGAATAAAGTTTTAATTAATTTTTAAATTAAAATCTTAAATTAATTAAAGTTAATTTGATTTGTTAAGATCTCCCTTTAAATATTACTAATCTCTATTTAGATATTGTTGTTCTTGTCTGCCAGATTTTTAGGAGATCCTTTAGTGTGATAGAAAACTGTTTTAGAGCACAAAAGAGAGATCTTAGCTAAGGCTTAATATGTCATGTGAGGCTTTTTTCCCCCTTGATGCTTCTAAAACATTTTCTGAGATTTTAATATATATCTTTCTCCTGTACGCTCTTGTAATTAGATACTTGATGAAGGATTTTAATATCAGTGAGGTAGAGAATTGGTGTTCCTTAAGCATGTTATCTACAGATGAAATGGCAGAATGCTTAATGAAACAGAATAATTTGACCTAATTTTCTGGTTAGCTTAAATTTAAGCAATCTTCATCCAGAAAATTGCTTTGGTTAATAATATGAAAATCGTTCATGTATATTAGAGTAACTTTTTTGCCTTAATGAATAAAGTTTATTAGAAATATTTTGCTTCTTTATTATTAGCTTATTTTACAAGGTTGGACTAAGCAATAATGAAAAATCTGAATTTCTTTTGAGAAATGAATACCTTCGTTTAGTGCAACACATTTATTTTCAACCATAATGTGGTTCTTATTTCTGATTTCTGTATTTTAATAATCTTAGGCAATGACGAGAGTGAGACTGGACTTTTTGGATCAACTAGCAAAATTTTGGGAACTTCAAGGATCTACTTTGAAGATCCCTGTGGTAGAGAGAAAAATCCTGGATCTGTATGCTTTGAGCAAGGTGAGGCTTTTACTGGGTTTAGAAAATGGGAAATTTCTAAATTTATTAAATTACTTATTAAATTTCTGAATTTATTAAATTAGGAATTTTAAATACACTTGATAGAAAAGGAAACATCACTTCCTATGTAGGATTTGTTTAACAGTGAAGTGCAAACATGAATAGAAATGAGAGAGCCCTCACCGGTTTGGCTCAGTGGATAGAGCGTCGGCCTGCGGACTCAAGGGTCCCAGGTTCGATTCCGGTCGAGGGCATGTACCTTGGTTGCGGGCACATTCCCAGTAGCAGGTGTGCAAGAGGCAGCTGATCGATGTTTCTCTCTCATCGATGTTTCTAACTCTCTATCCCTCTCCTTCCTCTCTGTAAAAAAATCAATAAAATATATTAAAAAAAAAAAAGAAAAAAAGAAATGAGAGATCTCAAAGTTATCTTTAAAATCTATTTCATAGTTTCTTATGAGATTCATACTTAATGACACTCAGATTAGTAGGCTCTCTTGTACACAATAATGGAAAAGAAATGACACCAACCTACTAATAATTATCTTGTGTTGAGTGTATAATGTATTGTGTTGAGCTTGTCATTTTTTCTACTTCTTAATGTAAATTTGGTATATTAAAGAGATTGATGTTATTCAGCATTCTTATGTGTGGTACATATCAGTTGTATTAATACCTCTAAATAGTGATAATAGTTCACTGAGGCCAGCATTATCCAGTGGAATGAATAATAGCTCACAAACGTAAGGTTAAAGTGCTCAGACTAATTTTTGCTTAAACTTAGGTTAACTTTGTTTAACCTTGTAAACTTAGATTAACTTCACATTCTCTAATGTAAAGAAAACTAACTGACCTGCAACAGGATTTATAGTAATTATCTTGAAGACATATTTTGTAATACAATAATAAAAATTTATGATTGTTCTAATTTGTGAGTGAAGACAGCTTGATTATCTGAGGAATTTTGCAAATCAACTTATTTATTTTTTATTTTTTTAAAAATATATTTTATTGATTTTTTACAGAGAGGAAGGGAGAGAGATAGTCAGAAACATCGATGAGAGAGAAACATCGATCAGCTGCCTCCTGCACATCTACTACCGGGGATATGCCCGCAACCCAGGTACATGCCCTTGACCGGAATCGAACCTGGGACCTTTCAGTCCGCAGGCCGACGCTCTATCCACTGAGCCAAACTGGTTTCGGCAACTTATTTATTTTTCAAACAATTTTAAAAAATCTTTACCTGAGGATATGCTTATTGATTTTAGAGAGAGGGAAAGGAGGAGAGAGAGACAGAGACATTGATATTCATTTGAGAGAGAAACAGTGATTATTTGGTTGCTTTCCTGTGTACGCCCAGATCAAACCCGACACGTAGGTATTTGCTCTTACTGGGGAATTGTGTCCTCAGTCTTTTGGTGTACAGGACAATGCTCCAACCAATTGAGCCACACTGACTAGGGTTCAACTTATTTCTGTGGTCTTTTATATCCTTCTAGTGCCCCACTGCACAGATTCATGCACATTGGAAGGAAATTAATAAGAAGGTGACCGGTGGGGCAGGACTAGGCGAGATGGGCTGGATGCCCTGGAGCCAACCTCCCTTGGTTCCTCCCTGGCCAGCTGCACCTGGGGTAGCACCATGGCTCAAAGGGTGTCTGCGGAGTGAGCAGGGTCCCTCCAGCAGGAGGGGTCTATCAGCCTGGCCTGCAGGAATTGGGCCAAAACTGGCTCTCTGATATCTCCTGAGGGGTCCTGGATTGCAAGAGGGCAGTTGTTGGGTTATGCACCCTGGAATCTGGCTTCCTCCCCTCTGGTTCCGGGGTGCATCACCCAAGAACCTCCACTGCCCGGTCACCGCAGCTCGCAGCTCTTGTGTTGAGTGTCTGCCCGCTGGTGGTCAGTGCACATCATAGCTACTGATCAGAGCATCTGTTCTTTAGCAGTCTTTGCACATCATAGTTACCAGTTGGACGGTCGCTTAGCCCTTTATATATATAGGTGATTGATGTACTATTTTGAAATAAAATTTTTTCTCTCATTTAAGTTACGGAGTTAATTTTGAAAGATTTCACTTTCAAGAAAAAAGTGAAAATAATGATATTTAAATTATTATTATTTTCAAAATATGTTTTATTGATTTTAGAAAGGAAGGGAGGGGGGAGAGAGAGATAGAAACATCAGTGATGAGAGAGAATCATTTATCAGCTGCCTCCTACATGCCCCCTACTGGGGATCGAGCCTACAACCCAGGCATGTGCCCTTGACTGGAATCAAACCCATGATCCTTCAGTCTACAGGCTGACGCTCTGTCAAATGAGCCAAACCTGTTAGGGCTAACTTATTCTTTACAATACATTTGAAAATTAATATCAGGTCAAAATTCTCTAAAAATTTTGTTTTTTGCCAAAAATTCTGGGAAGTATAATCTTATGCTAAAATGTAGTTCTAGGTTTGTTTTGTCAGTCATGTAATGATGTCAACAACTAAGCACTGTGCTGAGAATTATCTAGTGCAGGTGTATGAAAACCTATGATACCAGTTGGTAAATACAGTGAATTTGAGGGATGGGTTTGTATCTTGTAGGGAACCATTCAGATAAAAATAATTTGTTTTAAGAACTTTCTTTTTTAACAGTTAAAAGGTAAATATTAAGTTTAAGTTAGATGGTAAATTAGGTTGCATTCTTGGTTTTATACAGTTATAGGATTTCAAAATTAGGAAGGGGCTTTGGAGCTAAACTAATCTGAATACCTAGTTGTTCACAATTCTGTGTAACATTTATCATCTGGATTGTTTAACTGTGTTTTGAAAAAATCCAATTCCTTTTTGTTCAAAGGGAGAATATAGCTAATAAAGTATATCTTGTTTAAGTACTTACAGAATGTATTGAAAATATGTTGATTAAAGGTTAAGTTTGATTGTCCTAGGATTTATTGGAGTCTTGTCTTTACGTCCCCAGGGACATCTCTTTCCCCTAATCTTTGAGAATGCTTATAAAACTGACATAAAGATAAAAGGCAGACAGGTTTTGATTTATAGATATTTTGTTTATAATACTTTTGTTCCCTAAATGTCATAGATTGCTGCCTCTCACATGAGTATTTTTTCTTTACATTGAGGTGTAACTTGGAGCACAGTGCACAAATCTTAAATGTCAGTGGGTTCAATCTTTATCTACACTCATGGAACCACCACGCACATCAAGATATAGAACATGTAGAGCATTCTAGTGGGCTCCTTTATCTCCTTCCCAGTCAGAACTCTCCCCCAAAGTAACCACTATTCTGATCTCTATTATTGGGTGGTTATTTCATTAGCATGACATTTTACTTTGTAGCAAGAGGCTCAGGCTGAAAACTACAAAAAACATTGAGAGTTCTGATATATATATTTTTTCCTTTTTTAAATCCTCATCTGAGGACATGCTTACTGATTTTAGAAAGAGGGATGGAGGGAAAGAGAGAGGGAGAAACATTGATGTGAGAGAGAAACATTGATCTATGCCCTTCTCATATGTACCCCAACTGGGGGATCAAACCCACATCCTAGGTATGTGCTCTGACTGGGAATCGAACCCACAACCTTCCCATGTACAGCACAATGCTGCAATCAACTGAGCCACACTGGCCAGGCCTGGAGTTCTGATATTTTTAGGATGTTAGGTATGCCCTTTAAAAAATATTTTATTTTTTGGCTGACAGTTGATGAATACCTTTTGAGCTTGTGTTTACACATGATTTTGAAACACTTTGATTTTGACAACTTTTTAATGGGAAGCAAATTTTCAGTCTTCTGAATCATTAAATTGTCAGTGTGATGGTTCCCTGTTTTGGTTAAATCACTTTGTCTTTCTTCCTTATTTTTGACTAGAGGCCTGGTGCACAAAATTTGTGCAGAGGGGGGAGTTCTCCTCAGCCAGGCCTGCACCCTCTCCAATCCAGGACCCCTCGGGGGATGTCCGACTGCCGGTTTAGGCCCGATCCTGGGGGCAGTCAGACATCCCTCTCACAACCCTGGACTGCTGGCTCCTAACCGCTCACCTGCCTGCCTGCCTGGTTGCCCCTAACTGCCTTTGCGTGCCAGCCTGATCGCCCCTAACTGCCCCCCCCGCCAGCCAGGTCACCCCCAACTACCCCTTCCCTGCCGGCCTGGTTGCTCCTAACTGCCTCCACCCCTGCCGGCCTGGTCACCCCTTACTGCCCCCCCCTGCCAGCCTGGTCGCCCCTAACTGCCCCACCCCCCCTGCTGGCCTGGTTGCCCCCAACTGCCCCCCTGCTGGCCTGGTCTCCCCTCACAGCTCCCCCCCCCCAGCTCCCCCGCCGCCTGGTTGCCCCACGCAGCCTGCTGTTCAGTCGTTTGGTCGTCCCTCACTAACCCCTCTGCTGGCCTGGTTGCCCCACACAGCCTGCTTGTTCAGTCGTTTGGTCATCCCTCACTAACCCCCCTGCCGGCCTGGTTGTAGGCAGCCATCTTGTGAGGGTGTGAGGGTTAATTTGCGTATCACCGCTTTATTATATAGGATAATAAAAAGTGTTATTTGGAATGTCTGTATTTTATTGGAGTTTTACATTAACAATTTCTGTTTGTAATCAGTGCATCAAGGAACATTTATTCTAGCCCTTAAACGTTTTTTTTAAAATTTATTTTGCAAACTAGCATTCTGCCTTCTCCATTTTCATTCCCATTTCCACTCCTCAGAGCTAATCACTTTCAATTCTTTTAGCTGTTTCCTATTTTAATCTTTATATTTTAAAATAAAATGTTCATTATGCTACTTATTCATGCTTTAGTTTTAAATATTACATACTGATTTTCTACTATTAGAAGTGGGGAATGGGTGTAAGAAATCTAAATCCTCACAAATTCCAGGTCCTCTGTTCCCTTCTAGTGTAGTTAGATCAATTTTTTTTCTTTTTTTTAAAAAATAAATCTTTATTGTTCAGATTATTACAGTTGTTCCCCTTTTTCCCCCCATAGCTTCCCTCCACCCAGTTC